ATGGATGGATGGATGGATGGATGGATGGATGGATGGATGGATGGATGGATGGATGGATGGATGGATGGATGGATGTTGTAACAATGCTATTCTGATCTTGCATCCATATACCAACAGAGGACCATGTTCAAATCCTTTCTGAACTATCAAATAAACTGTGTCATTGCATGGCTTCTACACTTCCACAAAAAACAAAAAAAAAGCAAGCACAATTTTAATGACCCCGTTATCCTGGAATAAATCCAATCCCAGGTGTTTTAATATCCTCACTCCCATTCATCAGTATTCACAACAAGCTTCTGGGGCTCTGTTTATGTTTGACGATATTTCAAAATGTCAAGGTTTGAACTCGTTTAATGTGTGTGGTGAGGTGTGAGAAAGGTAGCTAATACCATGCAGAACCGTGCATCCGGGACTGAAAGATAAATCATCAATTGCTAAGATCTCAGAGGCTTGACTTCTGGCTGAAAGCTCCCCTCGAATTACCACCTGGAAGATAAACAGTGAAGGGATATCACACTCATCAGGAACAGCTTTTTATTTATATTACTTTTAGATTACTAAGAAGAAAGAAAAGATGTCTTGGAAAAATATCTTAAACACAGGGATATAATTAAAAGATACTTTTTCTGTACAGAAATAAAAAACACAATGTTGATGAAAACTACTATTTGGAACTTTGTGTTAGTTAACACAGAAAGAGTTCAATTTAAAAAAAATGTATAAAAAGTAGAAGGTTCCACAATTTCGAGAGTTATTCAAAAAATGAATTAAAAACATATTGACACGTAGCCAAACAGGCTTTACCAGTCATGCAATTGCATGACTCATTTTAAGGATCAAGAGTAATGGTTACGTATATCAGCCAAATGTGGGTTTTATATGTTTTTTGTTTTATTTCTCATCTATTAAGAAGAGAGAAGAATTATCCTTTAAACACGATGCATTCAATGGCTGCCGTATAACTGGTATAAAATTTGGCCTGTTTTATACAGTTTAAGCCAAAAGTAATTAAAAGTTTGGAACTTTTTTTACATTTTGTAAGATAGCAAACGCAAACTTCAGTGTATTCTATTGGGATATATGTGACAGACTGACTGAAAATGGTGAAAAAAGGCATTGAATGAAGAAAGCCATGTAAATTCCTTGGTGAAGGGTTTTAAAACTCACTCAGATGGACATAACTGGATAAGAAAAAAAAAGGTACCGTGGTAAAGTGAGAGGGTCCAATCTACTTTTAGAAAAAAAAAAAAATATATATATATATATATATATATATATATGAAAGGAAACTAGGATTAATTGCCAAACTGAACACACATTAACATTGTGGTGGGAGCATCATGTTGTAGGAAGAAGAGTAGTGAAAGTTTGTTTGATGAGAACAATGGATGGATGCATTGGTCCATCAGATAAAACCCCAGTGATACTGTATACATTTATGTTTGTGGTTATTCATGAGAAAAGTTGTAGGATTTCATGAGATATCAATTTCACAGCAGCCTGGTCTGTTTATCATTGAAATGATTTTGCTTTAACAACGGGAACTCTAAATGAAGGGTTCCAATTTGCCTTTAAAATCTAGGCAAAACGTATATCACAATTTAATCTTTCCTTTTAAATCTGGTCTTCTAAAATTTTTTACAAATCCTCCATATGCTGGACTTTTAGGCTCACAATGAATTTAAACTTTGAAAAATGCTGACTAATGCTGCTGAAACAGGAAGTGAGTTAATGGTGAGTGAATGTTAGCAGATGTGACCTCTCTTTATCACCTGCAGACAGCAAAGAGGTAGAGAAGAGGAGAAATCAACCCTCTGGCATGCTGTGACTATATTGCAAGGATGCTAACAACAGTTTGACATCCAGATGGTCTCTGAGGGGTCCAAACGGGTCAGTACTTTCCCAGCAACACTCTTGTATTGCTCAGCTCATTAAAGCTGCAATGTCCACTTTAACATCATATACTTTAAGAGCAATGGAAACTCATTTTGTAACTGTGACAGACCTGAAAGCTTTGATTGCTGTAGAAGGGAACAACTGCCCGCAACCATGTTTCCGTCTGTGTGGAGTGTTTCCAGACTTCGGTGCTTTGACTGTCTGAATGGGACTGAAGAAGAATCTGAAGATTTCCATGTGCTGCTCCAACATGATGGTAGAAACTTATCTGATGAATAAAAAAAACAACATTTTCAGTGTACCTTTTATTAAGGAAAAGCTAGAAATCCCTTGAAACATAGTTTCTACATATGGTGCATTTTCAGACTCAGGTTATTAAAAAGAAAGAAACTTAAACAAAGTGAATAAGTGCTCAAGTTAATTTTGTAGTATTGATGCTTTCATTACTGATTTTTCTCAAGATAAGATTGTAAACTTTTTTTGTGGAAATACCTCTTTTGTATAAAATCAAATCAAAAACTTTTGTGATACTAGTCTTATTTTATCAACTTCACTACAAAACATTTCAATTTTCAGATCTACTAACCTCCTTTTTTTTAGTAACCATTCAAACTTAGTTTTATCTCAATGTCCCAACTCTGGGGCTGCACAGTGGAGTAGTGGGTAGCACTGTTGCTAGCACAGGGTCTTTCTGAATGGAGTTTGCATGTTCTCCTTGAGCATGCGTGGGTTCTCTCCAAGTACTCCTGCTTCCTCCCACAGTCCAAAAACATGACTGTTAGGTTAATTGGCTTCTCTAAATTCTCCTTAGGTGTGAGTGTGTGTGTGCATTCCTGTTTGTCTCTGTGTCGCCCTGCGATAGACTGGCAACCTGTGCATGGTGTTGCAACTGTAGCTCCAAAAATAATGAAATAATCCATTTATCTTGAAATAACACAGTGCTATTGTTGTGCAAAAGTGATTTAAATGTGTCATTGTTCCATTTTCATATTCTGAGATAGCAAAATCTTAAATTGATTTTATTGGGTTAAAATTCCATGTACCATAATGACAAAACAACAAGACAAGCTATTTTATTCATTTTAAAATAACCTGTTATTTTAGATGAAAGGAAATCTGTAACTGGTTTCTTATAAACAATTTTAGTATCTCAGTAAATACCTCAGTATTTCAAGGCAATGACATCTCTTGATCATTTTGTCACAGCAAAGCTTAATAGAATATTTTCTGTTTTTGTTGTGATGCTGTAACAGCACAGTTACATCAATATATCATCTGAATAGGTCTATAAGGACTAACCCTTCTAAACATATTTGGAAATTTTGCCTGAAAATTACTTTACTTTCAACTTTTATTGGGGTGATGGGAACATAAAAATATATGAGCAATATTTATTATAAGATTAAATTCCATACTTTTGAAGAATGTGCAAATATTCTATAAGCCAATTACCTGGCAGTTGTGAGTAGGCAGGAAGAGTGGACTCATCAGGGATGCAGTGGTCTCATTTTCTCCAACAGGTGAAAGGGTCAGAAAGTGGGCTGTGAGTCAAAAGAAATGTTAAAAACAAATTGTGGGACAGATGTAATATTTTGTAAAAATGCCAGCTTCTCCCACCTGAGGTGTTTCTGTGATCCTGTTTAAGAGCTGAGGCCTCATTTGTTCTGTTCCATCTGAAGGGGGTTTCCGGGCTTTGAATCAGATCACAGAAACCATCTTCGAAATCACATCTTGTATATGTAGAACCTGTGATACCAAACATTTATTTGAATAAAACACTTTATTTTGGTTAAGATGTATACATATCCATGCGGCTCTTGTGCATCGGAAATTTTATATATATATATAAATCTGTATATATATATATACATCTATAAAAACTCAAAAAAAGGATCCAGTCGGTGGGCTATCGTTCTCTGGGCACGAACTGAACCTCTAAACCAGGTAAGTGACTCATGCATACTTTTCATTCTCTGTCAGGTTAACGGGGTCACGGAGTTTTCTGCCTCAGACGTCCTTGTAGCTGTTATCATAGACCCGTTTATTTTAATCAACGCAGGGAACTTCTACTTTAGTTGTCCACCACATAGAGTAAAACTGGCATGAAGATGCTAAGGTTGAACGAAAGCAAATATTCAATAGCTCTTGTCAGATAAGAAGAAAATATTACTTTTTGGTCTTCAAAAAAACAAATTACATGGTGGAACACTAACACTCCACAAACACCCTCTATATGCATAGGGGTGGCAGCATCATATTGTGGTGTTTTTTTCAGTAGCAGGGCCATAGAAGCACGTCAGAACTGATGATTTGCACTAAATTCTGGAAGCTACCAGCCAGTTGGAATAATTGGGACTTGCTTTGGGCTAAAAGACATGGGCATTGGAATCACTTAGCTGAGCATGAACTCATCTGTGAACTGAAGTCAAATGAGAGTAAATATGTCCAAATGTCTACAGCTTGGCTGAAAGGAGGAGATCAATTAGACAATATTTCAAAAACACTGCATCAAATCTGTCACAGAAGGGCTTAAATATCATTGTATTAAGGTGTGGCAATTGCTCAGCCAGGGTCAGATCAGATGAGCATATAGAGAGCTGATCAAAAGTCTCCAAATGGCAATGAACTTAGGCAGCAACAGTTAAAGTTCATCCAGACATTGACTACTACACAACTTGGCTGCTAAATTTTGCTCAACAAGACAATAAGACCCTTCAACCTACTTAGTTTTGCCTTAACTAGATTGGTCGTCAGTTTAGGTCCAACTGCTGGTCTGTAACAGCAAAATTTCAAAGGTAAACTTACAATTTTCTTCATCGCTGCCATCTCCACAGTCTTCGGTGAAGTCACAGACGGTGTCTAAAGCCACACAAAGTCCCTCACCGCAGGTAAACTCCTGATGTGAACAGGCAGCGACACTTTGGGCCAAAAGCAGCCACAATGTCCCCAGCAGTAACTCCATCTGTTGTCTTTTATTCTTTTAGCTAAAAGACATTATTATCAATTTAATTTGAAGCATTTTGTTTCTATGACTTCAGAAAGAAGTGTGGTTGCGTTTCCTCCTCTATGAGCAAACCGCTGAGATATGACTGATGATGTTTGCCTGTTTGTACGTTGTTAGCGTGTCATAAAAGGCAATAAATGTTTTTTATGGCCATTACTCAATAAGGTCCATTTGTGAGTTCACATGTTGCAACAGGAAGAAACATTTGTGAAGCAGCTCAGGCTGCTTTGATTAAAAAACCTATTTGAAGTTTTTGGTAATACATCAAATATCTTTAATGATAACTTTTTAAAAACTGAAACTATTCTCTTGTGTATGGTAAATATTGGATTTTCATTTACAGATACAAGCAGGTAAATACTGTCTAAAGTTTTTCCTCTCCACTGTCGCTACAAGCATGCTTAGTGTGAGGGACTGTATTTGAGTCAATGAGTCGATGCAATCAACTGGTTTTCCTTAGATAGAAAACTTTGAATTAATTTGACTGCAAGATCTGGTTAAACTGTAAGGTGCCTTGAGATGACTTGTGTTGTGAATTGGTGCTATATAAATAAACTGAATTGAATTGAATTAAACCATGCAGGATAAATACACCTGCAGCACAATGCACAAACACAAAACAGCTGAACACTTTAGCGTTGTACTATAACGCTCTTTCAGGTCTACTTTGGGAAGACCACCTCTATCTGAAACTCCACAGGTTATGTGTCAGCCTTCCATGCAGCATTAACGGGATATCTGAAAATACACCAGCAGCAGAATGATTCAGGAGCCATTCTCACACATCCTCAATCCAGATGTGGGAGTTTCAACCCTCAACCAAATGCAGACAGGAAGGATCCAGCAATCTTCCAGAGACTCTCTAATAACTTAAAAAGAATCATACAGGCATAAAAAAAAGAATTTATGCCCTTTAATAACTAAGATGGATCTTAAAAATGTAGTATTTGATAGATTCTGGGAGGGTCTGATTACACATTTACATAGCTACAATGAGGAGTTTAAGTTTGAAGCGGAAAACAACAAAAAACTCCCTATGAAATCAAATCTGTGGTTTTAAACTGAGGCTGTAAGCATTCCTTAATTGCAACAACGAGAACACACTGCAAGTTCAGGAGGCTTCAAAAGCCCTTAATCCTTTCTTCTATGAAACTTATTATTAAATCCTAAAGAACTTTTGTGATTTGATTAAACCTTTGGGGACGTAGTTGAGGTCCAAATTAAAACCTCTAAGTAAGATATGAAACAGTTTTAAAGAGTGTATATGAAGACAGATGTTGATGTAGAGTTTTTAGACTTGCAAACCAAAGAAAATGTTTATTAAGATGAACGGTAACACTGAAGCTATATTTTTATGCTTTGTCATATAGTTTACCCTATAATTTACCCTCACACATCAGTAGTATCTCCTGCAATCGACAGATTGTGTATCAGACATGTTACATTACAAATGTTCAATTTGGCGTTCTTTAAAGATAATTTTAGTAAAATAAATCAATGCAACAACAACGACTGCTTGGCTAATTAGTCAACCTAAACATGGGAAGGAAAACACAAAGAAATATAAATGAAATCAACAATGTTTTGAAAAGATGCCTTCATGATTGCTTTTATTGTTTTTCTATATTACCTTCCCTTCCAGCCCTCGTCAAATTCTCACCTACTGAGACTAAAGACTTTCAAGTAGATAGTCTCTGCTGTTTTAGGCAGTAATGATATGTGCTTCCTTGTCTTCTTGCAAGCTAAATCAAGCCATTCCCTGCTGGGAGAAATGATCACAACAGCTGGAGTTTAATCTTAGGAGGGAACCTGTAGGAGGTGTGTCTCCTTTTTCCTTCAATCAACACAGGAGGAGATGATATCTGGGTGCTTTAAGACGTCTTTTATGTGTTCAAAAACATGCATTTCAATGTAGGATTCAGGATACAACCACCCTGACCTACCTGAGTCCTGGGTGAACCCAGGACTCTGAGGGACTCCTCCTCGGTAAAGAAAATAGGTAAACATCAATGTAAAGACATCCAGGAACGATACACTGCATGTGTGGTTGATTCAATAGTTTAACATGAATAAAATAAAAAGCCGTTTTAAGGGCTGACTCATGTAAAAACAAAAGCATGCAAATCTACATTGTTGAATGATCAGAGATATCTGTCTCATGACTAAAGGAAAATAAATCTATGTACGGTAATATAATTTGGGAATTACATGAAATAGCAGTGGGTTGGAAAGCTTAACACATTATCCAATAGCACCACCTGGTGGTTTTGTTTTGCATTACTGTTCTACCCTTTGATTTACATTATAAAAGCTCTGTCCATTTTGGCTTTGAAAAAAAAAAGTTTTTTTTATTGTTGTTTATTTTTATTCCTATTATCGTTAAAATGCTTTTACATGACATGTAGAACAAAGCGGCACCTCCAAGCCTAAAGCTACAGTAGAAGCTGATTTTTTTACAGGGTCCTCAAGAGAAAATAATAGAGGTAAGCCCAAGAATGACTTACATTGAGTAGCCTATGGGTGCTTGAAATGAACAACAGGCTTAGAAGGCACACAATGAACTTCCAAATCAAGACAAGAATTCATCCTTAAAAACCCTTCATTCGTGCATCTTCTCTCTTTAGAGGGTTTCATTGATTAATACATTACAATCATCTGACTCTGCCTGTTGGTTAATGGTATCAGAAATACTTAACTATGACTTTGTGCAGTTGGACCCATCTACTTGCATTTTTTTCCCCTTGAAATCTGCAGGTAACATTTCTGAGGTCATGTACTGCAGATGCAGAGGAAAGGGGATGAGATGTCATATTAGACTTTTGCATGTTTTATACAGTTTTTAGTCTTTTCTTTTTTGTCAAAACTTCAGCTGATCACATAAAGAGGCAATATTTTTAAAAAATGTCTATATTAGATCCTTTTTTATTTGCATCTATCAAACTACAGTCATTTCTTTACAGCATACAAAATGTTCATAGTTCTGTAAAAAATTTTTTACATCAAATCAATTTTTAGCATTTTAGTATTGTATTTATGTTATGGTGCAACATAAAGTAGAATAACTGTGAAGGAAGGAAAATCTGATTGTTTACAGCTAGAAAGAAACCTAAAGCAGTTTTTTTTGTAAAGTAGAAAGAAAATAATTTATAATTTTACTTTCAATTCACCATTATGCAGAACTTAGTGCATCTCAATAAAACCCATTTAGGTTTCATTAAAAATAAAATGAATCTAAATTCATAATCTCCAAGAAAAATGGTATATATCAGTGATGGGTAGATGAGACGTCATGAAGCGTTTTGACACATCGTCAAACGGTAGTGACACAGTCACTGAATACCGACACTTGCTGGATCTTTAAAATCACTACAGGCAGCCTCTTTAACAGACCTGACACTGATTTGATGACCTATAATACGATTTACGCCATTGCATACAATGGTTATATTGTGTTCATATCTTCTATCCTCTCTCATTCATATCTTTGTTTAAATTGAAAATATTTTATGTTTTTAGATGCAACCATTAAATAACGTGAATATGTATTATATCGGGAAATTTTAAGTGAACATGTGAATGAGGATGCTTGATTCCAAAAAAGTATTTAAAAAAAAAAACACTGGACTTTTTAGGAATGACTATAACCAGGATGACTGAGAATCTTCACCACTAAAGAGGATATGTGTGGCTTAGGATGTATTTATGTATTCATTAATTTAAAATAACTACAGCAAGAACAGTAAATTAAGAGTTCATTTGAAATCAATTTTAATTCAGATACTGTTGAACGATTACTGAGAGGATGACAGAAGAAAATGAAAACAAATTCAATCAAGATGGTCCCATCGGCTGAAACCTTTCTGTCCCTTGAGGCTGCTCCATATTTTCTCACTAATTTGATGTTAAACCACAAAAGATCAGACTTTTTGGCAGACGCATTGCATTGGCAGATGTGCTTATAAACAGTTTAGTGCGGCAGTCAGTTCCAAACAGCTCCTTTAACCATCACACGACTTTCTTGAAACGATGCGTGCAACGACACAGGATTTTTGCTGTAAGAGTTCGACGCATGCACCAACGCATTGCTGTTTCCGGACCCATCACTAGTAGCCTATATATGGAAGTAAAAAAATAACCTTTCTGCTACATTTGCCTTCTTTTACAAATGCAACAAAAAACCTGTTTCTTTCATTTTCAAACATGGGAAAGTTTGTGCCATATTATTTATTGTCACAAAGTTAGTTACCGCTCACATCTAAAACTGACATTTGACAAAATAATTGACATTTTTTTCTGATACAAGATTAAGTGCAGAAATATATAAAAAAAAAAACCTCTGAATTATTAAATGTATAAAGGCTGGTTTATACTCAGAAACCAGGTCGTCTGTGTGTGTCGCAGTTAACGCAGATCCCCGCCCCTTCAGAAGACACTCTGCTGCACCTCTACAAATTTGTAGGTGAATGCAGACAGTGCTGCAGACAGGAGGCCTCTGATTGGTCAAATCTACATCGGTTCTACTCTATGCCTATTTCCTGTTCAGTACCTTACTGGCTTGTTTTGTTTGTATGACATTGTGGAAAACGACACCTGGATCTCTGCTCTTTTTCGCCCTCATGTCCCTCCGTTGTCACACTAACTTGCCCCCACTTCCTCACTCAGCCACATCTAGACCCACAGCTAGTTCGTCATTGTCCCTCTTGCGTTGTTGCATTGAATAACATAGCGCAGACCACACTTCAATATTGAGAATAAATCAAAAATATCTGTGACACCTCACTGCGACACACTGCTGCGGGAGTATAACCAGCCCTTACTGCACCACTTTTTTGGGCTTAAGGTGGGAGAGGCTGGTATTTTTACAAATGCAGTCTAACAGATACCCTAAGAACAGAAAATGTAGATTAAAAGGGACAAAGCCCTTTAATGAGGTTTAATTATGATTTTGAAATTTGTGTGGGTTTTGCTGCTTGTATGATAGCACTGAATTCCCCTCCTTTAGACCACCAAGTCTTTATCATAATTGAGCAGGTCACAGGTTAAGAAAAGGTCAGTGCGTCCGCTGTCCATCAGCACCTTATTGAGCTGGTTGCTAGTCATGTTCATGTCTGTGGATTCATCCAGAGGCCACTCCAACAGCTGGGCGCTAGAGGGCAGGTCAGGCAACCCAGGCTGGTAGTCTTCCAGAGGGTTTGGGTAGAGTAACTGTCGAAGGCAGGGCATTCTTGCTGCCGTCTGCACCAGGGCAATCAGACCCGCCAAGGACAGTGGGTTCAAAGCTAAAGCCAAACTTTTAAGGGCCCAGCAGCCTGCCAGTGTTGGCAACAAGCGGCTAAGAAGACCATCGGTGAGGCCACAGCCGCTCAGAGAGAGGTGCTGCAGGCTGCTGGAAGCCTGGGAAAGGAGTCGGCGGATAGAGGGTACGGTGGTTTCATCCAGACAGTTGTCGCTTAGATCCAGCTGCAGCAGAGAGGAGGCATGATGGCTGCAGGACAGATAGGCAAGGTCAGCTGGACTAAGGCTCAAATAGGGAAGCTCCAGAACCTCTAAGGGCTGAGGCAGTGAGCTGTCGGGAGAGAAAAAAAAAAAAAAAGATTAAAATCTTAAATAACATTTTTCTTTTTCTTAAAGGTGGAGGATTTGGTGAATTTCTGAAAAGACACACACTCTCCACTTAAAAAAAAAAAAAAGAAAAAAAAACACACATACACAACCCTGTACCCGCTCCCGAGAGGGAGCGCCCATTAAATGTGTGCAAGAGGGTACCATGGGCCAATTTCTCTTTGTGCACGCTCTGTTTAAACGTTGCTGTTTGCATCGCTCATACAAGCTTACTTTTCAAAAGGACATTTGCAATTTTTCCACTATGTCAGACCCGCCACCAGTAAGTGAAAATGGGGACGAGCACGTAGGAGTTACGTAAACATATCACCAGAATGATTGACAATTAGGAGGACCACTTATTTTGATTATCCACCCAGAAAAAGAACATCCTCCACTATACCTTTAATCTTATTTTAAAGGTATAGTGAATATTTTTATAACACCAAATTATGTAGGGCAGAACTACAAAGTGGAAGGACTCTTCTTCCAAAATAAATCTGAAATGGTTCGTGTGCATTAGGGGTTCGCCACACAGTGTATTTGTAGAAGGACCCCTTATTCCAATTATCGATGCAAGTCCTTCACCAGCTTAATTTGATTTTAGTTTTAAAGAAGCTTCAGTTCAGTCTGATGGAAAGGAGAACATCCGTTTTCAAATCTTTGCTCCGGGTCTCTATTAGAACGAAGTCTAGTCTTTATTTGAACCATTTCAACGCTGTAGTGATTAGTTGTTGAGGCTTTAAAATCACTACAGCACAGACTGACACTTATTTGATGGCCTATAATATGATTTAAGCCATTGTATGTTATATTGTATTATTTCATATCTTTGTTAAAATTGAAAATATCTTGATATTTTTAAGTGCAATCCATAAATAATGTGAACATATATCATAATTGGCCAAATTTAAGTGAACATGTGAATGAGGATGTTTGTCACTACAGCACAGGATCTAAATCTAAGCCATTTCATTGCATCTCTTTTCTTTCTGGTCAAAGGTGAACCACTGACCAACTATCAAATATTTTACAGCCTTTAACACGTTTTGTTTGAGGATTATCAGGCAAATATTTCCAGCCATCTTGCCATCATATCTGAGCAGCTGTGATGCACCTGCTAAAAAAATATGAGCTCCAAAAGCATGATGCTGCCACCACCATGTGTCATTGAAAAAAGGCTGGTGTTGTAGACTTTTGCATACAGACTAAAACGTAACATTTCTCACAGACCTGATCATGTTTGTTATATCCCATCTGAGTTGCAGGGTTCTGGTTAATCCCACATGTTTCTTAATTCTCTTTACCTTTATCAAACCCTATAAGTTGCTGTGATTTGAAGAATACTGGGGATGTACTTTTAGTGAGGATCATATACAAAAAAAATTCATGAATATGTTTAAGAAGCACTACCTGAGCAACACCCGCAGCTGTCCAGGCAGACGCAGAGTAGTAAGGCTGAGTTGTCGCAGTTCTTGAAGGTTTGCCAGCCCTTGTGACAGGTTCCTCAGGACTTCCTCCTGACCAAAGCTTTCTCTACGAATATCCAGGTTGCAGTAATGGAGCCGCAAAGAGTTCAGTTCAGGGAAGGTGGACAGCAGAGGCAGCAGTTCCGCCAAGCCAGCGACTCCAAGGAAACTGTAACGAATGTCTATGCCCAACAGCGCCCTGCGTGGCAGCAGGTTTAGCAGAGTTCTGATACTGGACACTGATATTTCTTCCACTCTTAGGTATCTGCACTGTAGCTTTAAGGGTCCTGCAGCGCTCAGAGCTGAGCGTACACGATCCCAGGATCGGGCGTTTACAAAAAGATCAGCTCTGACATGCACCAGCACCTCACAGCATGCCTCTTTTTCTTCTGTTTCAGGTTTACTCCCTCCTGAACCTGTCGCTACGATACCTCTCTTCCTTTCCATCTCCATCCTCCTTCGCACCCCTTTAATAAGATCCTGCTCACTGATCGGACCCTTGGACCCCGCCTTCTCCCCGCATGTCTCATCATCCTGTAATGCCCTTGACTCTATCCTCTGGCCTCTCTCTCTTTTTAAATCTCTTTCCCTTTCGAGTGCTGAAAATCGTTTCCTCTCTCGGTCTCCTTCCTTCCTCTGAGCCCTCTGTGCTCCAGCTTTGGCCTGGACCACCATTGTGCAGAGCGCGACGGTCAGAGACCAGCCTCCCATGGGCTCCCCTATTCCTCCCTCATCTTTCTGCAGGCCACTAATGTCCAGTATCTGCAGGGCTGACCTGGAGGGAATAAATAGACACAATACTGATATTACAGATCCAGATCCTAGTTAGTCAATGCAGGGCAGAGACTAATTAGGAAGGTGAATGAAAATTATACATTATTTAAGGACATTTCAAAAATATCTGTAAACATTTGCAATCAGCTCATTATCTTTCACCCTTTATAGGGTAAGTCACCTATTTTGATCACTTGCATACCCCTATCAAATGGAATCCCCCCATCCCTCAGTGAGGTCTAGAAGCACAAGATCTATATCCAGCCATTCAGCAAAGATACTTCTACATGGCAGGACATCTAATTTTGGCATTTGACCAATTACATGCGCCCTTCAGTGATATATCGCTCACTGTAAATCAGGTTGGAAAAAAATAGTTAAGTCCAAAAAAGGTAAAAAAATAATTGAAAAGTTAAAAAGTAAATAAGCCTAGCTAACAATTATATTTAGGTTTATAAACAAAATAATTTAAGTGTCAGTGTCAGCATTAATGCCTCTAAGTTTATGTTAAATTAAAAAAATGTGTTTCTTTCACTCTCGGAGTGTTTTTCCTGAATTTCTTATAGAAGCACTTTTGTTATTTTTCTTAATATATTCGGGCAAGTTGGCGTTTCATTCATTTTTGCCATCTAAATATCCATATTTTTCAATGTTAATTAAGTAATAAGTTCTTGTCCTGAATTCCAGTAATAGTGATGTTTTGATTTTCAAAGGATTTGAACGAGTGTTAACCGCATTTAAACAAAACAAGGAGTTCAGTTTCCGACATACTTTCACTAGAAACCTTTTCTTAAGTTAATCACTACGAAAACAACTTTGAAAAGCAGCCATTTTTTGTACCTTCGGTCCGTCAGTCCTCTCACCACACCCAGTAGCAGAGCCTGGATGCAGAGGCGACTAGGAGCAGTCTGCCCAGCTTTACTCCGTCCTCCTATTCGGAGGGTCCGCTCCGGCCACCGCTGCACCAGTTCTCCCACAGCTAATGGTCTGCAGCAGGCGAAGGAGGCCTCCAGCAGTGGTCCGTAAAGCTCTCTGGGAACCCAGCGGAGCCAGGTGGGTGACGAGCTGTGGTCACTGACCACCTCCTTGGCACAAATGCTCACCAACGAATGCACCATGGTGAGAAAATGAAGGAAAACATATACGTAGCGCTCTCTTAACTCATCCCACGGTAAGCTAGCTGGGCTAAACTAGCTCCCAACTAAATTTATAAACAGTAACAGAATATCTTTGCTGTCAATAAGTTTTTACGACTTCATCTGATAGCTTCGGTAATAAAGAGCAGAAATAACTTATATAGACTTGCTTGAATGCTCTCTGGTAAAGTAGACAGGTAATGTTAGCTAACTGAACATGAGAAATGTTTACAGTTTACAGTTCTTCTTCTTCTTTTCTATAATGGCGGATCGTAAGCAACTTTAAGGTGCATACCGCCACCTACTGTACATGGGTGTGTAGCAACCTTACCTTACATCAAATTCTATTTTTGTAATTTAGTCTTCTGTAGATAAATAAAAAATGCTTTCCTTTATCTGTTTATATCCTTTATATTTCCTTTATTTCCCAATAATCATTTAAGACTCCATTCTTTGCCTGTTCTTTCAACCATCCTTCTTATTTTCTCCCTTTCACTTTCATAAGTTTTACAGTTCATCAGTACATGTTCTACATTTTCTTTTTCTCCACATTCTTCACATTTCTCATTATTTTTCCTCCCTATTAAATATGAATTGTAATTTAAATAGGTATGACCTACTGTTAATCTGATCATTATTACTTCATTCCTTCAGTTTCTCTCAATGATTCTATTTAATACTGATTTTTGTATCTTATATAATCCTCTTCCTTTCTTATCTTCATTCCACCTCTTTTGCCATTTTTCCATTTCTTTACTCTTAATAAGTGAGTTACCTTCCCCTTTCCCAAAATGAATTGTAATGGTTATTGTTCCCTCTAAGGCCCTTTTTGCTAATGTATCTGCTTTTTCATTGCCTTTTACACCTTAATGTGCTGGAACCCAACATAACCAAATATCAATGCCACCCCTATATAATCTAAATAGACTTTACTTAATCTTTTCTATTATTTCCTTCACCCTGAATACTTTCTAAAACTGCTTTGGAATCCGTGCATACCACCACCCTGACTGGTCTAACCTCTTCTACCCATTGTAAGCTTAGTATAACTGCCACCATTTATACTGTGAAAATGGATATTTGATCTGATATTCTTTTAGAAATGCATATTTTAAACTCTGGTATATATATGTCTATTCCCACACATCCTTTTAAATTCTTAGAACCATCTAAATATATTTTAAGGTTGTTATAATAAGAGTTTCTTAAATATATATCACAGGTAATGTTTGTTAACTGAACATGAGTAATGTTTAAGGTTTACACTAATGCCAGGAAGTGAGGTAAAGAGGATAGGCATTCTTGTCAGGAGTGCGGGAGAGGCAGTGATGATAATAATAGTTATAAATGATAAAAGCTTTATTATACAAAATATTCTAAACTAGAATTATGTTTTTCCTTACTAAAAATATTAACAGTATATAGGCAAGAGTTTAAATAGTTTTAAAGGTCATTGCAAGTATTTTATTTTAGCCTCATCTGGATTTAGAATTGTTACCGTAGCGGGATGTGCAGCGAGTTTTCACAGAGACCGACAAAACATTTTAGTGAATCATACCAAAACTTTTAAATTTATCTTAAAATTAGAATTGACCCACGCATATTTGGGGATTCTTCAATTTCAAAATGTGGTAGTAATGACCTCCATTGACCTGAAGGGTTGTGAGACACGCAAAAAGAAAGGGGAATTCTTATTTGCTAAAACAAATTGGAAAGTAAATGTTTAATATATGTAATCTTTCCGGAGGATGGACAAAAAACACAATCACATAGCGTTAATAAAACCAGCATATTCTGCCAACCACAATTAGAGTTAATATACAACAGATTTAATAGGTAGGCCAAAAAAAATGCTAGATTAAGCTTTTTAGGAAGCAGTATTTCTATGTATGGCACACCTTGGTTGGATAATGACACAGTGAAAGCATAGGCTAACATCACTTTTTGAAAAGAAACATCCTTATTTCTCCCTGAACATTTTAATGAAAGAACCATGTGGTTTCTATAAAAAAGAACCATGTGGTTTCTATAAAAAAACATCTATTTTGATTAATAAAATATGAGCTTTCCATAGAATTAGTATACACATTTTAAAACAATCAAACCTAGATCCTTTAAATTGGCTACCTAGCTATTTATGGAAGTCTTTTTCTATGGCTCAGTGTTCACCTTAGCAGCATTTATTTATTTATAAATCCCCGACGTAGTCAGTGCTGACCACACTGCACAGATTGTATTCTACCAAATATTTGTAAATATTTTTGTCTAAAGGGCAAAACCATAAACAGGATGATTAAAGAGCAAATAGTGGGACAATGAAATATCTAAGTAAATGTCCCTTAAATAATTGCAGTATACCTTCATATCAGTATGGTAGGTGGTGTAATGTCTTTTGTAAAAAGTAAAAAAAAAAGCATATCACACATACATATTAACTAATTTATTGAAAAGAATCCAGATTAAGTAATAGTAATACAAATATTTTTCACATATCTACAAACCTGTACATTCCTCTTTTAATCACAATCAATGCATCAAGAACATTCACTTTATAACATGACATCCTCCATCCCATTTGGAATACATTTAACATAACTAGTAAAATAAAGAAACACATACGTCACCTTTTTCATGTCTTTAATGTAAAAGGTGGTTGACGAAAGCTTGTTTTAGTCAAACTGTGTTTAAAAATACATTGAACCTTCATAGAAAGACCAAAATGGGTCCTAAACAGAATGAAGTGAGCTATTCAAGACGCTGGGTTTCAAAAGGCTTCAGTCATTATACTCTCCAACTTCCCCTCCTCTGTAGGGTTGAGCACCGTCAAAGTTGGAGTGAAATAATGCAGCTCTATTTTACCTGACTCATGTGCAAGGGCAATTCCTGAGTATGTGTTCTGATGTCCTGAGTCTCCAAATACAGCCATAGCTGTAACCCTGAAAACAGGAATAGGCTGATCAGAACACATGACGGCGCATTAAGTGTATCATTTCTTATTTAGTTAGTTTTTTTTACCCATCTGTGCTCATTTTCTTCGTTATAAGAGGCTGTGCATCATCTTTCATCATGTCCCATATGTGAAGGTTAGAAGCTGCATCCAGAACACAGAATACGGCGGGCCTGGTCTGGGCCCACTGTGCTGAGATCACTGGTTCACCAGCAGTGCTGTTCTTCCATTCTGCCACAGGCTGCTCATGGTTGACTGTATGCAGCCTGATGCTGCCATCTGCACAGCCAACCTTCAATAAAATAAAATAAAATCACAGTAAGGTACCAAAACAGAATGAGGTGAATCAAACCTCGTTTCCAGTCAATCTCTTTGCAGCATTTAAGGAACTTCTATGTAGGGCTGCAAGTAACAATTATTTTGCGAATCGATTCATCTGTCAATTATTTTTTCGATTGATCAATTATAATCGGATCGCAGAATGTTCCTGAAAGAAGACTTTTTGCACAATTAAACAAGGTGATACTAAAACTTCTCACTATTTCTCTTAATACACAAATGTACGGAGTTTTTTTTTTTTTTTTTACGTAAAGTAAGATGATTATGCCCACGGTGGGGTTAGTAGGAGGTTGGATGTTTAGGCTCCGTGGGATCTTGCTTACTGTTGATTCGAATGAGGGACTAAATGTGTGTCAAATAATTTTAATACTCCAATGGATGCAGAAGGAAATGATTGATTAAGGTTCATTACCATCAACTGATAAAAGTGAAGAATTAATTAAAAGGGTTTCAATTGTTTTATTTTAAACGCCAACTGAAGGGTACTAATGAATCTTGGCTTTATTTCTAATCATAATAACAGCCATTCAATCATTTTTATTTTCTGAGATCATGCTAGAGTTACCAAAGATAAATATTTTTTTTTCTTTTTGTTTTAAAATCAATCAGCAGTACCAGTGTGTGTGTGTAGAGGGCAGTATTTCCTAAATGGACAGAGTTTAAAAAAGGAAACCTCCCTACCAGGAACAGGTTTGGTCTGAAAGGAGAAAAGTGGATTGAGTTGATGTCAACAGTTCTTTCCTCCACCTCCTGAAACCCGTAAAACTGTGGAGGAGTCTTCAAACCATGACTTGTTCCATGGCTGACGAGACCCTGGAAGGAAAGACTATTCAGGATGTTTCACAGTCTATACTGGAAGATCACTGATCAATATTCAGAGACATTTTGCTCACCAGATTAGTGCCAATAAAGAACTGATTGGAGTCTGTTGGATGGTATTTTAATAGCAGGGTCTGAAACGGTCTTGCTGTTCCTGCCACTTTTAGTAACGGCCTAAGGGATAGAGAGAGATAAGATAAGATCTCACAAAATGTCCAGTCACATCATGTTCCACCCCGGCTTTACAGTCCATGACCTCAGAACATTCCCATTGGATATCGAGGTGACAAAAACATGAAGAGAGTAACAAACATGATCATGTGACCACTGCAGAACAGCTGCGTCCCACTTGGCCAAGCCACTGAGAGGTATTTTTAAGCCCAGCAGCCGACCCACAGTAACAGGTGATCAACATGAACTATTTATCAATCTAACCTCTGAACAGTGAGGAGGGAGGAGCTGTGAAGCAGCTTCACTTTGCCCCCAGGACGGAGACCTGGAAAGTTGAAACATGAGATGGAGTTAGAGGCCAAAAGCACATACTGAAGAAAAATGAATGTATATAAATCAAGACCCCATTACCTAGATCTGTTAGAGAGCCCGCCTCATTGCCTTTAGGCAGCTCCACCACCACCTGAAGGATGCAAAGAGGAAAACGCATTAAAATCGGTCAATATCTAGAGAGGGAAATGAGTACCCTTCTGAATCCTAATGATGTCATACACTGCAACATGTACAATCATTTTGTTAAAAGCTTTACCTTGCAAAACTAAACCCTTTGACTGTTTCTGAAACAAACTTATCGATTTTTCACCATATCCATTAAGGTAACAAAAAATTTGCATACACACAGAACTAAGGAGTTAAACCACCTAAAATCTTCTAAAACTATTAGGTCTGATACCAGTAAATAAAATCAATACAACCAACTACTCATCTACAGAAAAACTTTTTAGAACAGCAGGTAAGAAATGGAATTATAGTATGATTTTAACTTATATATAGCCTACATCCCTTTAGCCACCCACGTAGTTGAATTAAATTAATCATAAAGCAAAAACAATCCAAGCCAGGAAAATATTTTTAAATTCACACGTTCCAACTTCCATGGCTTTAAACAAGTGACAGTTCCAGTATGTCTGACTGCTCCAGTTAGAAAGTCAGTGTCCTTTAATAAAGGGAGACCAGGCTTTCAAAATTAGTTGTTTTTCTTTAAATTATGTAACTTTTTGTGTTTTATTTATTGTTGCCTTTTATCCATGAGTGCCTTGAAAATTAGGTTTTTAATCTTAAATGGGACCATCAGTTATAAAAGCATAAATATCAAAGAAATTACATGTGCTGCAACTACCTTCGTGTTAGTATATCTAATTTAATTTGGGTATGACTCTGGATGAGCTGCACATCTAAGGGTAGATAAGTCCCACTCATTGGGAAACCTACCAGTGAAAAAAACCAAGAAGAAAATTCATAAGCATTGTTAAAGAAGATTCTCTTACCAGATCACATTGAAAGTCACATTTTTTACATGCATTCAAGAAGCAAAGCATAAGTGCCATGCAAAACTAAAAAAAGGAATCCACCCTGATGGTAGCATCCTGGTGTGGGGATGTTTCTAAGTAGGAAAATAAAAAACAATTCGGGTTCAAAATCTATTAGAAGCTGCAAAAGGCCCCAAACTGAGCTAGAGTTGTACCTTCAGCTAGAGTTCTAATTATTCAACTAGTTACCCTGAAATTGTTTAAATCAAGGCGTATTCATGTGAACTGCTTAAAGTCCAGAGCAAAATCCAATAAAGAATGTGTGTTGAGGCTTTCAAATTGGAGTTATAGAGGGTCTCCGCCTAATCTGACTGACCTTGACATATTTGGCAAAGAATGGGAATAAATTGCTATCTAAATATTAGAGCAAAACTGGTACGGTCTTGTAGATTCAAGCATAACAAAAGGGGGTTCACAATAAACTTTGAAGACTTTGAGGAATTGAATAAAATGCACTCCAAATTTTCAAATTCTCAGTTGTAAAAAAGATACATTTCCTTCCACCTCACAATTATGCACTACTTTGTGATGGTCTACCATATAAAATGCAAATATATTCAAGGAGGTACAGAAACTTTAACACAGCACCGTATACATCAGTCAGGACATCATTTCATGCATGCTTCCTGTCATCTCCTTTTATAAAATTACTTTTTAAAAAGCCTTTATGTATTGAGGATGCAAGGTTTTTAGTTGCATACGATGTTCTAAAAACATCAACTTAAAGTAACAAAATAGCTAAATGCCACAATGTTGCACCTCTCTGGACTATCACATTAAATCTGTATCTCCAGTGTAGAGAAAGAGAGAATTTCTCTGTTGGCTAACCTACCCAAATATTTAACATCCCACTTTCATCCAGAGAGGCCAGCTGGAAGGACAACCCTGATGATTCAGAAGGATAAAAAGAACATTTCAGTTAATAACGAGAGGTTGAGGAACAAATTAGACACAAAAACTCTTTAAATCTGTTAGATTCCTACCTTCCTCAAAGGCCAGAAGAGGAACCTCTGCCCTCAGCCCTCCAGCTACAAAGGAGGGAATGACCTCTACAGAGGCAACAGGTGAGGCATGGCTTGGGCTGGACATCACTGCATCTGTGTAGACAGGAAAACAACAGACAAGTGTCGGTATTCACTGCATTACTCTACGTTTATGGAAAAACAACATCTGAACCTAAAATAAGGTAAAGTTGTGTTAAGGCCAGAACACACCAAATCTGATTTTGCGTCTGCTCTGACAGAAAATTGTGTTGGACGAGGTCGTGGCATTTAGCGCTCTTTGAGAGTCATCACATCCAACATGATTTTACACAAGAGGGCTAGCGTAGGTCCAACTCAGATAGACCCCAAGTCTATTTTAGTCAGACTATGCAGCAATTTAATTGGTCTGACAGGAAGAGAGACACTGTTACAAAGTAAAACATCACTTTTGGGGGAATATACAAGATAAATCTGTTTATCAACATAATAAAAGGGACAGACTGGTGCAAAAACAATGAATGGTAATATGAAAAAGAATACTTTAACCATGATAGGAGTTCAGGAGGACAGAAAACAGATTAAGCAGTGAGATAAGCCTCTCAAAAACAAGGAGGGACAGAGACTGAAGTTTATCAATGGAGGAGGAAAAAATTGATATAGTGAAATAGTGATCCTTTTTGAGTCTCACAAAAAACAAAATTATGAAGGGCAGACAGAGCAGGTAAGCGCAGCTTATATCTTTCACCTCTTTATGAAAAAAAAGAAAGAAAAACTCAGATAAACACCCCAGAACTCTCTAAAAATCACCTCTCAATGACTCAGTCAGTACAAAAACCATCCCACGGCATTTAGTGCTCTGTTTTTCTTTTGTTTAGACATAGATCTCATTATTCTTTTACTATAAGCATTCTCTATCTTTTCTGGTTTGAGATGCTGCACAGACTTGCTTTGCTTTATAAAATATGCCTTTGTTTTGTTTTTTCATTATCTGTCCAATTCAAATGTGGCAAATTGTTTTAATTTGTGTATAGCACAGAGACAGAAGTAAAAAAAAATCTGCGCTGATCTGCCCACCCTAGTCGGAGCCTCTCTATACGCAGTCAATGTGACATGGAAAGAAAATCGCATCAGAGATTAAAAAGTTGTACGCAACTGTGTGTTCAGGCCCTTATAAGGGATGCATAACGTACATCGCAGTTAGCTTAGAGAAAATATATGTAACATTGTATGAAAATACCAGAGTGCTCTATAAATATACATGCTCTAGATACACTAGAAGAATAATGCGGGGTGTTTTTTTACCGCTCCGCTGGGAGGAAAGCCAGAGCAGAGACACAATATAAATAATCCCTTATGGCCTGGGAACAATGTGCGTTCCTCTAGAAGAGGTGAAGAAATATTAAAGGGGTTAAAAGTAAAACACAGGAATGAATGTATTATGCTTCTAACATTTCCAGACAATCGTCAAATGATGTTGATGATGTTGGCTTATAGGTAAATAAAACCAAAAATGACGTTTCTCTCATAGTTCTGCTTATTTTATTGCAACATTTTTTCCTCCACTTAACTTTTATTTAATATACCACTGAGTAATGAACTCTAAATAACAAATTCCAATTTTGGTTGTAAGCTAAAGGAAATATCCCAGACTTGATAAAACATGGTGGGCCTGGCCGACACCAGTCGATGAGAAGGCTCTGCCAGTCAGTGGCTGCAGAAACTTGTTCCTTTCTTCCACTCATGCAAGTCAGATTCTGTTCCTCTCCCTTCTCCCCGAGTCTCTTGGACCTTGTTCCTTGTGCGCCTTTTTCAACCATGGTGTCTTTCCAAACCTTTTGCATTTTGTTCCTTAAGATCTTATCAACAGCAATCTGCTCTATAGGTGTACAGTATGCAGTCCTCTACATGATTATGGAGGTTTAACCTAACTTTTCTGTATCAAAGATCCATGTTTTTTCCATATTTTCTGAAATTATGGTTAGTTGTATTCACTGTGCATGATTACTTATTTATAAATATTTATATATATATATATATATATATATATATATATATATATATATATATATATATATATATATATATCTTTTTATTGCAATGAAATGAGTTTGTAACCTTTCTGCAAACTATTTCTGTAACTAAAGGGTAAAAATGACTGGAAAAAAATGAATGGAAGGAAAATTCTGGCAGGATTAGTTGATTTGCAGTCAGTCTTATTCACCATCATTTATGACATGTTTGTAGCCAAATAAATGAATGCTAAAATAAAATTAGAGGCAGGTTTAAAAAAGTATAATGTTAAGGGTACACACTTTTATTCACAAGCAGGTTATTTCAGCCTTTCACCTTTGTTGACCCTTTTCTATGTAGTAGATCTATGTGATTTTCCATTTGAATTCTACATTTCAAATTAGATCTACAACAACGAACATTTTGATTTGTTGTAAAAAACACTCAACAAAATAAGCAATAATAAACACTACAATATTCCAGGTAGCTTAGGAGTTTCATTTTTTGAAAACTACAAAAAATTTGGTTATGGTGCAAGCTTGCAAGAACCTTTTAAAATTTGAATGAGTAAATAATGCATTATTAAGGTAAAATGTATGTTTAACGGCATTGAAAATAAATAAAATAAAAGCTGTCCTGACATACCAGTGGAGAACGTAGGATTTCTGAAGGTCCACTCATCCTCACCAATCTTTAATCTGTAGTGGTTGCTGGAATTTTCCCTCAGGTCCCACAGAACCACAGAGCCGACCTGTGTTCCTGCAAACACTAGAGTGGACTTTCCTGGACTAAAGCAGCAACACTGAATCTAGAGAAAGAAAACAAAACCAAGGTCCACCAGTATTGGACTTAAAAACAGTTTTGTCTTCAAATGAATTGGTTTCTTGGTTTTCCTTCCATGTTTTAGGTCTCAATTATTAGCTTAGCAGAAATACTTAACTGGCTTAAAATAATTTCTCAGTGATGCGCATATTATTCTATAGTTGTGCCGAAACTGAAAATTGTGTAAAAATGAACCTCTGCTTCATAGATAAATATCTTCTGAGGTCTGGATGGTTCCCAGATGTTCCAAACGCAGACCATGCTGCAGCTGTCGAGGTGGGCGGTGCTGGCTTGGACTTTGGGCATGTGCACGGACAGCATGGTGTGCTTTTGACCCGGAGAGAAGTGAACAAGACTTATCTGTCGACCTGTGAGGAAAAAAAGTTAAAAAGGAAGTGACTCTTGGAAAAAGTACTTATGCCTGTCTATAACAAAAACAAACTACAGCAACTAGATTAACTTAATAGCAATTAGTGCTCATCTTAGCATTATTGACATAAATATATAATCTGTGGGATACTCCAATGATACTGTACCTGAAAGAAAAGGCAAGGTGGTGTTGAGCTGTAGACTTCCATCACTAAAAGAAAGGGAATCTGTTTGAGTCGTCAGCTTTCTTAAGGACTTCTTCTCTGCTTGGTCTTCCTCCAGCAGCACCACCATGACCTTTATTTAAAAAAAAAAAAAAAAAAAACAAGTCAACTCTTACAGCTGGAGAAGTGCTCTAAATGAAGAGTTTTAAAACTTTACAGGGAATCACACGATGAAGAAAGTAAACAACAGGAATAACCCCATGAATAAACCTGTGAGGCTGAGTCCAGAAACGACATCAGCTGTTGTGAATCGAGGATGAGTTCATCCCTGGTTTTGTCCTGGGCTTCCAGAGAGAAGTTGGTATCTACAATATAGGAAGAGGCACCATCGCTGAACTTACAATATGTGCAGAACCTGTAATCACATCACTGCATCCTCTTCACCCTTTGTCTTATTCAAAATTCTATTTGAATGATTGGAAATACATGCAATAAACAAACACAATATCCATTATTAATGTGAAGCGTAAGGACAAATTATTCCTGTTTTTTTTTAAGACATTTTAAAACATAAAAAGCTGAGAAACATGGTATTCAATAGTAATATTTTCTTATCCTGAGATCCCTTAAAAAAATCTAGAATTTAATTTCTTTTAGAAGCTGCTTAAATAACAAATAAAGTCTACCTTTATGTAATTGAATCTTAGTTATAAACCAAGCTGTCCTACAAAGTTCTTAAAGAATTGCTGGAGATCATGCAGCATCATAAAAATGAAGGAAAATATAGAGGATAGGTCAGGGACCAAGTTGGGGTAATATTTTTAGCAGGATTAGGATATAAAACAATAAGATCTAATATTCTCCCTAGGAAGTGTTCAATTATCACTGGTAAAAGAAAAAAAAGGCAGTTATACATTTTGGCTATATTTGCTAAAGGAGACCAGAATTTGCAGAACTTGAAAAACTGCATCAATATAAAATGAAAAAGATCCAAAGAGGTTGGTCATAACTTGACAAAAAAAACAAAAAGTGCATTAAAAGTCTCTGTTTTTTCTTACCTCCACATGCTCCACTGAATTCAGGGGGATGCTGAGTCCACTTCTCACATATCTCTATCTCCTCCGTCTGGACGTCTCGATCTGTGTTATCCTCATTACACTGAACATAAGCCTGGGAGGGAAGACGCTCTTACATCTCAGTCCAGCCTCTACGGTTTCTCCTTTCTACTTTTAGCTCAGGTGTTTGTTTAAAACAAACCTTACCTGCTTGGTGTTTGCATTTCCAAAGCTCTTTATATACATCTCATATTCACTGACAGGAGGTATGTCCAGGAGGGAACAAGTCAGTGAAAAATCCAAATCGATTAAATGAAGCAGTTCTGCGCCTCGCTTCCTGCAGTCAAAGAATATTTATTATAAACTAAAAAAAAAAACGCTTTTAGGCTGCTACTTTAGTTTGAAGTTAACTTACTTCTGTTTTGCAGCAGCTTTCTGGCTGACTTCACGTTGCTTTGCAGCAACAAAGTCGATAAATTTACCATGTCGTGAGATCTTACTTTGATTCCTTTCAGAGCCTTTAAGCAAATAAGTGATAATTAATTTTATTCTGTACATATTTGTTACATTCTTTTATTAATTATTTGTCTGTCCTGACAAATAAAAGAGTCACCTTTAGACACATGCTCCTCTTCCTCCCTGTCTATACTCCGTCTGGACTGAGCCGTTCCAGCTCTCTCGTTCTCTTCAGCCATGGCTCTCCGGATTGACTCGATCTCTTTACTTGGTTGGGCCGTCTGTTCCTCCTTCCCATCATGCACCTCATCCTCAGTCTCCTCAGCACTCTCATCTAGGTCTTCAAAGTCCTCTTCATAATCCTTCAAGATAATAAAGCATCGTTGACCCATATGACACAATGTGCCAAACTAAACCACAGCAACACAGAGTTCTTACCGGTCTCTTAGAATGTATAAAGCGATAACGGCGTGCAAAAGCAAACAATTAAGTGTTAAAAAAGGAAGATATTAATAAAATAAAAGATAGGAAAAACTTAATTGGTTATCTCTACTATTCCTTTACCTCAAAATCCTCTTCATATTCTTCCTCTGCAAGTTCTGCCTTTTCTACCTGCAGGTGCAAACAAACAAACTAAGCAGGAGAAACATGTTGGAGCTGAAAGTTAAGGACAGGATCGGTACAAAGCCATGTAAGGTGATGTTTTGAAGACCCTTTCTCATGCAAAACTTGAGGAATGTTTGTGAAACAGTTAACTATGATATCAGCTCTCTGCAGTGCTTCATGTTTTTTTGTTACATTTTTTTTTTCTTCATCTATAGTCGTCTGACTCCACCAACAATCTCTCTTCATCTACTAAGTGATGTGGTCTATATGTTCGGTGATAGAAGCTTCCCACCTCTTTTATGGGACCTTTGAAAGTTAACAAACATAAGCTATTTATTTATCTCACTAACTGGCCAAAAGATTACCAATATATTGGCCTACTTTTAAGGGTAGGCAAAAAACGTTCCTTTTTGATAAAGCTTATAGTTAGAGTGGCTCAGGTTATCCTGAGCTATCTCTATAGTTATGCTGCTATAGGCTTAGACTGCCGGAGGACATAGGGGCCCCTTTTCTTCATTATATCTCTATTCTGCAGAATTTGTTAGTTCAATTTCTAATGTTGTAATCTCTCCTGTTTTCCTCATAGTAGCTTCATCTGGTCTGTGCCTGTGTGGCTGTGACACCATCCTGGAGAGAAATATCAGCTGTGCTGCTGCCATCAACTCCGTTATTAATAGTTGTTGGGGCTTGGCCTGTTTTTCAGTGTAGTCCTGTTTCTCTGACTGTGACTAAGTGTATGTGTTCTCTTCATCCTCTGACATGGGAGCTGGATTGGAGCTTGTCTGCCTGGCTGGTTGTTTCCTGGACGGGGCTGCCTGTGGAGCTGGTTGACAGTTACCTTTTGTATCTCCGCTTTTTTTTCTATGTATGATTCTATCTCCTTCAACCCCAGTCGGCCTCTGCAGATGGTCACTCATACTGAGTCTGGTTCTGCTGGAGGTTTCTTCCTGTTAAAAGGGAGTTTTTCCTCTCCATTGTTGCTACAAGCATGCTTGGTGTGAGGGCTTTCTTTTGAGTCCATGAGTTGATGCAATTAGCTGGTTTTCCTTGGACAGAAAACTTTAACCAATCTAACCGTATTATCTGGTTTATTTGTCTCTGTAAACTGCCTTGAGATGACATGTGTTGTGAATTAGCACTTTATAAATAAACTGAATTGAAACTGAATTGAATAGATTTTGCCATTTTCTTCTTTGTATGTTTCCGATGATAATTACAAAATACAAAAAAGAAAAGAAAATATTTCATAATCATTCACAACTTAATTTCTTGATAACATAAAATGTTAAAGGTAAATATAATACCGAGATCATATCTGGATCAGAACAGGTACCCAGCACTATTGATTTTCAAACAATAGTGCTGGGATGTTTTTATTACCTTTTATGACCTACATTTTAAGACCTTCATGAATCGTAAATAAAACAATCCGGTGAGTTAAACTTGCAAACAAAAGCCCAGAATGATTCATCCCCATGGCACGGTTCAGTTTTAAGATTATTTTCATCTAACCGAGAAGTTTCTTTCTGATACAAAATCATAGACATCTGAAAAAAAAATCCATTGATATTATATTAAAATGTAATATCCAATATATCGTGATTCTTCTAACTAATCAATGGGAAAATCTTTGCTGGCACCACAGAAGTGCAACCCTTTTTATCAGCGTTGACTTGCTGACTTTGCATGTTTCTATTGTTATTTTCACTATTTATCTTTCAGTATGGGCTCCAAGCTTTTAATGCTGAGAATGTTAACTCCATCCACAGATTTCTATCAGATGCTAGTCATAACTGGCTTGACTGTTCAAAAAAACATTGATTTTACTGGTAGGGAGAAAGAAAAAATACTTTAAAACTCAGTTATTTTAAACATCAATAAAATATATTTGCATGGATAATCTGAGCCTTTTTAAACATTAAGAAGTTATTTTACATAAGTATAGGGTCAGTTTTCTGAAAACTAATTTGATTTTTTAATTGAAATAAGAATTTGCATGAACCTAAGACTGTGAACACTGTATAATAACCAAAAAGAAAATAGTTAAACCGGTTATAAATTTATCATGAAAAGCTATTTTATACACTAGCTGTTTTTTTTTAAAGTTCCAAACAAACAAAACCTTACATGCTCTCCTCCATTTTTTCCATCCATCATCTGCTGCTTGGAAACAGCTACATCATCCTAAGTATTAAAAACAAGGTAAGAATGAATAAAACAGACTTCAGGGAAAATTCAGGGATGAACTAACCTTTGTCTCTTCCTCCATTTTCTCGTGTCTGAGACTTTTGTCAGACTGGGATTTCCTGGAGCTCCTTTTCTCACCGTGGTCTCTTTCTAGATCCTCTTTAGCTACCTCACTGTGTCCTCTGTCCTTATGTCTTCGTTCTGCACCTTCTTCCTCTTTTTTATGTCTCTCTTTTTGCTTTTCCCTTTCTGTTTGTTTCCTGTTGCCGTGCGAATTCCGCACTTCATCATCTGTTTTTTTAATTTCCCGACGTTCCTTTGATTCACGTTCGTCCTTTTCATCCTATAAGCATCAGAGATATATTAATTATCAAGACAATTGTAAATTTTAAAAAACAAACAATCAGAAGTGGGGAATTTAACTTTTAGATTAGGGTCCTAATCTTACATGATGTCTTCTCTCCTTGTGCCTTCGTTCTCTTTCCTCATTATTCCGTCTGTGTTCTTGTTTTTTATCTAAATTAAAAGGGTATTTTAAAAAAGGGACAGCCTAAATGTATGAAACTGTTCTAAAAATGTCTGCATACCTCTGTCTTCTGACTGCTCCGAACGCCTATTAGCTTCTTGAATGTCTTTGTCTCTTCTTCTGTCATCATGTGTGCCTCTGTGTTGCCGGTCCCCCGGCTCTCTGTGCAGCTTCTCTGTCTGATCTCTTCTCACTTCACTCTCATCATGTCGCCTTCTCTCTCTCCTATGCTCTTTTTCACGTTCCTCTCTCCTTCTTTCCTTCTCTCTGTCTTCTCTCCTTCTTTCCCAGTCCTCACTGTGCCTCTCCCTTACTTTTTCCCTGTCTTTCTCCTTATCTTTGTGTCTGTCCTTCTGCTTTTCCCTTTCCCTGAAGTCCTCTTTGTCTAGTATTGTTTCCCTGTAATTTCTTGCATCCCCTACCTGTTTTTTCCTTTCCTCTTCACCTCTTCTCTCCCTGTCCTTTTCACTTCTTCTGTCATAAGATCTGTCTTTCTTTTGCTCTGCATATCTGTCTCCTGTGTCTCCATGTCTTAGCTTTTTTTCCTTAAGCTTTTCTCTGTCCGGATCCCTGTGTCGTCTCTCCATAGATTCTCCTTCACGCTGCCTTCTATCAGTGTCTTCTCTGTGTCTTGAATATCTTTCACTAGAGTCTTTGTCCTTAGAAACACATAAACAAAAAAAGGCATTGATTTTGTGAGGAACTTTTGTTCAGGTAGCACAACTGTAGTCATGGTTTTATGTACACTCATGTGCAGGAATGTCCTTTTAATTTTCAATTCATTACAACCGCAAGTTAGAATTAATTGATGATTTTCTTTAATCCATACAAGGCCAGAAGGACCAGTTCAAATTCTACTAACAAATAACGATTAATTTGCAAATCAATTAATCTGTCGATTATTTCTTCAATTAATCAAGTAATAATCAGATAACAAAAGGTTCCTTAAAGACTTTTTGCAAAATTAAACCAAATTAAAATAAAGCTTTTCCACTTGAGGAGTTCTGTATAGAGTATATTGACAAATGAAGACGTTTTTTATTTGAAATTCAAAATGTTAACACTTTTATTATTTTATTTGGCATAATTGCTGCTCATTGTGGGTCGGTCTGTCAGCTAAAGGCATATTTTAGAGTCTCTACATTCCAGTTTATGATTAATCGATTATTAAATTACACCTACTCATACTTAAATACATTTCCCTCAGCAAGTTACACCAGAAACCTATATCTAAAAGAAACAATATATTTTCTTTATCCATCCTCAAATCAGCAGTGTTGTGTTTCTATCCTGCAAACCCAAGTTGAAGAATTTAGAGGTAGTCCTTTTTCATGATTCCATCAATCTTGTGTGAAATACCAGTATCAATAGCAGCAAAAAATAAATAAATAAGATAAAAATCCCACAGCATAAAGCTGTGACCACCATGCTTCACAGCTGGTGCATTTATTATTAGGTTTGACAGTTTTTTTTTTTTCCTGATCTTGGATATGAGTTGCTCATATTGCTTATTCCAGTCTCTGTAGTTCACTCTTTTTCATTTCGATTTATGAAAGGCCCTCTGAAAATAATATCTTAGTTAAAGATTAACATTTTTATATACCGTAGAATCTTGTAACTATATAGACAATCAAAAGTATTTACTGGAAAGCAAGGAGAAACTACCAGTTTTGATTCATAAGAAGAACTGGGGCGTATTAAAATACATTCTAAAAAACCCTCAGCATTACATTTAAAGGTTTTGGGTGACATGTGTTAATCAACCAGTTTAGTTTTCTGTGTCAGTAACACAATATACATTCAAACAAACAAATAAATATTTCTTTATATAAAATGCTTCAAGTTTGTTGTTGTCTAAATCTCCTGGATAAAGAAGGTTTAAAACAAACCTAATTCTCCGCCATTATTCTATCTGTCTAAGAACTTTTGAATTACCCTAATATGTCGTCTCAGCTCAGCAGGTCTCCACGTGTCTTCTTTGGTTAATTTCTAAGGAAATAGAACATCTTTATTACCTTTATCACAACAATCGGGTGCACCTATATCAACAAAAAGCTCATTTAAATCTAAAAGAGAATGCGATGATTTACAACAGCCCCAATCCGGAGTCCAAGCTGAGGTTTAGCTTTTATCCAACATCTCACGATAGCATCTTACCTTCTCGCTCTGCATGTTCTCGTCTGTTTTTGAGCTTTTACAAAAACATAAACATTCTACTACTTATGTATCCACGACGCCATAGCGATGTGTTTATGCGCATGCGCATTAGATGGAAACCATGGAGAACGCGTCATGTCGACTTAACAACAGACCTGACTAATCAGCGCAGGAGAAATCGATGCTCAGCAGCCACAGGCATTAAAGTCAAACTGGATTTTTTAATTTACGATTGTGTTCCAGTTCGGGTGATTTTTATAAAGTCTGTGATAGTTTTGTTTATCTGTTTTGTCTCAGTTTTAGATGTTTTGTTTTCCAAACATCTGTCAATTGGCCATTCTTCATCCCAAACAGATAATCAATGAAAAAAAAAAAAAATCAAGATATAATACATGTATAAAAGATAAGATATAATAAAGCTAATTAGATGATTAATTAAATTACATTTATTCTTCATATCTGTATATATCTCAGGTTGTATTTGTGCAAATGACATGAAATTTGGTCTTAATCCAATAGTTTGTCTGGTTTGCTTCTTTTTGTTTTTTATTTTACTGAACAACGACTTTGAAATGGCATATGGGGGGGATTAGTATTAAATCACTTATGATCTGGGGTAGTCACATTATCAAATCAAAATCAAATCAAATTTATTTGTATAGCCCTTTACAATAGCCAGATGGTACCCAAAGTGCTTCACAACAAAGCCATAACAACAATACATAACACATATAAAACATACAAGATACAATTAAAAGTGCTGTAGGGGTGCAGTGCTGCAGGACATTAAAAGCCTTCCAGAGGTGCATAGAAAGGAGCACACAGAAAGATGACATCTAAGAGACAGTATTATCCTAGTCAAAATTAAAAGCTAATTTAAAAAAGTGGGTTTTAAGCTTTTTTTTTTTTTTAAAAAAAGGCTGAGGTCAGTAGTGGTGCGGATGTCAGGGGGTAGTTTGTTCCACAGTCTGGGAGCAGCGACAGCAAAAGAACGATCGCCCAACTGTTTGAGTCTTGACCTAGGGACCTCTAGCAGAAGCTGACCCGAGGAGCGTAAACCTCTGCCACAATTGCGGAAAGTTAAAATCTCAGACAAGTAAGAGGGGGCAAAGCCATGAATGGCGTTAAAAACAAACAGCAAACATTACCAGTTGTCACACTGAGGTTGGGTTACTGCCAGACCTGTATACAATAAAACACTTAAATTGAACCTGTCTAAAAACATGAATAAGGATGAGCTTTATTAAAAAGTTTCAAATCTTAACTCTGAAATTGAGGTAATCAAACACAGATCAGAAAGAAAGGCAGTGACATCAATAGGTTTGACATAGATATTAGGTATAAGTAGTACTCGAGTTGAGGTAGAATGAGGAGCGATGGCACCTTTTTTAAAAGATCTTAAAAATCATCCCCCCTACTTAAATGAACATCCGCCCATACCATCCCCTGTGACATTTTATTACTGAATGTGTAACATTTCTACTATATTTTAACCGTAATGGCAGTAATTTGCCATTTGAACAGTTGGTGGGCTGTGGGCTAACGAGTAGCCTGAGCAAAATAAATAAAATGAAAAGGAAGTGGCCTACCATGACTATGAAGCTGATCCCAGTGGGATATTTGTCCCTAACTATCTAGGGTCAGTGATACAGTAGCAATGCCTGTCCAGGGACTGATTGCAATTGTATTGTAAGATGCCTTGGTCAAAGGTCAATGACCGGCGTACCTGACATGTAATAACCATACCATGCATATTTGCTTTGGGTTAATAAACTATATTCATTAGGCTATGTGTGATATAAAAAAAAAAATCACCATCCCCCTTTTTCCCCCTTTTTTTTTTTTTTTATAACCAGACTACTGGGTATAAGGCTTTGGGCATATTCCAGTGAGTTATTTTCAACAAGAGATAAATTCTAAGGGTTGTTAACCTTCTAAACAGAATCCAGCAAATAAACTTTCACCATCAATACATTATCAACTAATTCGGGAGATTAGAAAAGGAAAACACCTCTACAGAATTTGCTGGACTCTGTTAAAATACCTTGGTAAAATATTATCCGGAATAACAAGACATGAGTTTATTTTTCAGAATAACTTTCTGCCGTTAAACCTGGTATAAAGGTAAACACTGCAGTGACAGTCAAGCATGCTGATAGGAGAATGATGATCTGGGGCTTCTTTTGCTGCCTTGGGGCATGGGTCCATTGTCCAAATTAACAGGGCCATAGATTCTACTCTACACCAGAAACCCATATGCTGAATGATCAGCTACCACTTTGTAATAGCTCAAGTGAATTTAAGTTATGTGGCAGCAAAAATTGTCCTTAACAGAACAGTAAGTCAACTTCAGAAAGGCTGAAGAAACAAAATGAAGGCTTTGAAGTGGCTTAATTAAAATTTGGACTTAAAGTGATTGCAATGTTGTGAGACCTTAAATCAAATACTTTTGCTAAGAACCCCTCCAGCATGGCTGAATAAAAACAATTCTGCAAACAAGAGTGGGGCAAATTTACCCCTAACTGAACTAAAAGACTCATCATGAGATCTCACAAACACTTACTAACAGTTATTGCTGGCAAAGATGACAGAATCGAATAGTAGCCAGCCCAACCATCCATCATCTTCTTGTCCGTGGTTGGGTTGCAGGGGTAGCAGCTTCAGTAGGTTGCTGCTGAAAACACACTGCAAAAATTGAAATCTAATAATGATACTTTAAATTGAGTGTATTTTCCCTGTCAAGAGCATCATATCAAATCATCTTATTATTAGGGCAGAAAACCTCCATTATTTTGTAGATTAACATATTTGCCTGCTCAAATTAAGGACAAATAAACTTATTTTAAGAAATAATGTATTTTTTAGATCAGTTTTTGCAGTATAATACTAAATCAATTTCTTACAATGACAAGCACTTACAGAAGAGACCACAACTAGTTTGTTCCTTGGACCAATGTAATATTTTGCCTTTACAATTCACTCATTAATTAGAAATAAAAGTTAGCTTTATGCTCCAGTCGTATTATGATAGGATTACAGTATGTATCTTTCACATCAGTAGTCTTGGTTTTGTGGCTCACTTAATACACAAAACAATGCACTTTTGTCCTGTCTTTTTTTCTGTGTGCGTGTTGTTCTTTTGCTCTATGCCTCTAAAAAAAAAACAAAAAAAAAAACACTGCACCTGACCCAGTTACTCTTGGTACGTTTTTTTTTACCACCACTGTTTAAATGTTTTCTTAAATCAAATAATTGTGACACACTGATTCTTTGAATTTACTTTTATTTGAATTTAGTGTAACAAACTAAAAAATAAACTAGAGGCAAATATTTCCCATCAGTTATCCTCAGTTTGACCTAGTTTCATGGAGGCAAATATATTGCATTTCCAGTATTGGCCACCAGATGGCGGTATTTCTTAGTTTTAATTGTTTCTTACTGGAGCTGTAGAATCTGTGTGTGTGTGTGTGTGCGTGTGTGTGTGTGTTCTTGGAAATGTTTATTCCCATCCTGTGAAGGCAGTGTGAGGTAACCAGTGGATAGTTCAGGCATGCATTTAGCAAGCGGCTCTCAATGAAAACTAATAAAGCAAATACTAGCGCAGAGGACTATGGGAGGGTGCGCAGGTGAGCCGACTTGAAACGCAGCGCTCCGTCCATGGAACTGGATCCTTAGACATATAGTCCGAGGACAAGAGATGTCAGGAGACAGCATGACAGCTGTACGCGGAGCCCACTCGAACAACAGCAGCCCTGCGACACCGAAGGAAAACGGACACACCGCCCAGCCGACGTCCAACTTTCCCCATCCCTCAGCGGGGAGCGCACCGGAGGACAGCCCGGCGGGTTCCAGCAGCGAGCTCTCCCACACATGGATCCACTTCGTGAAGACTTTCGTCATTATTTTCCCCATTTATGCCCTGGGCTATTTTGAGTTCAGTTTCAGCTGGTTGCTGATAGGACTTTTTATCTTTTTCTGCTGGAGGAGGAACGCAGGGGGGAAGCTGAGCCGCCTGAGCCGAGCGCTTGCTTTCTTTGACCAAGAGGAGCGAAGCGCACAACGGTGTCTGACCACCTCGGATTTACCTCCATGGGTAAGACACAATACGAGACAAATATTAATTACAGAGATGTTTTTCTCAAAAGCAGGTGTGTGATTCTTGAAAAATGTATAATGCGCGTTTCTTGGAAAATAAACATTAATCTACTCAGATCAGGCGGAGCAGGTTGGAGCTGTTAAGGCGATATGAGACAGCTGTCCTCCTCCCTGATGGTGACACCAGACCCAATCTAAATACAGAATGCTACAATGCTCCACCTCAGAGCATGCTGCTTGCCTTTCATACCAACTCAGTCTGTTATTTTAGGTCCCCATCTATATGTATTATCTCTACAGAAGACTCTACTCTCTCTATTTCTGCAAGACGGCTTGAATACAAAATGAATAATGGAGTCTTATTAAAAAAAGTGCTTTGCATCCAAACACAGAGGCATCATGTGGGGCTTATAAGTCGGTTGATTTTAGAATAGGATATACGCTGGAAAAAATAGAAATCTAGATAAGTCATATTTTGTCTTACAATAAGTGCAATTTTTCTTGGATTGAGGAGGTAAAAGAGACATTTTGCCAATGGAACAACAGAATTTACACTTAAAATAGGAAAACGCAATAGCATTGTCTTATTTAAAGTGCATAATATCTAATTATTTTATTTTAAGAGTAAAAATACTAATTCCGTTGGCAAACTTTCTCATTTACCTAATCAAATTAAGGGTAAATACACTAACGTTAGGAAATTTTTACTTATTTATAGATCATTTTTTACAAAGTGTTTCAAAAGAACTAAATGTTTTCATATTTCTATTAAGGAAAAGGAAAATCACGTTGAAAAAGATAATTTAGGCTATTTAATTTTGAGAGATAAGAGAAATTTGACAGAGTGCAGGTATCACAAGATGGAGAGGAAAATGGTATTCTACAAGAAATATAAGAAAATGGAGAGATTTTTAGAACTTGTGGCTCGTAAGCAGGGATTAATCCTGTAAGTGGTGGGTTGCTGCTTTATTCACCTTAATTGTGTCTTTGCTTAAGATCTTAATGTTCTTGCCTGCTGTTGGTGGTCAGAGGGTCTGATGGCACTGATTGTATGGCAGCTGAGCTTCTGGTAGTCTGCCCCAGGGCAGCTCTGGGCACATTCTAGCTTACCACCATCAGCATGTGAGTTAATGGGTGAAGGACTGAATGCAGTAGGAAGGCCCCCCTAATCTGAATTTTGTCTCCTGCCCTAAGGAGATTTCTGCAGATGACAGAAATCTCATAACCGAGAAAGGTTCTCCAGACATATTAAATGTTTTTTAATAAAAATAACAAAATAACTCAGATTATTTTCACTTTATTTTATTAAATTCATATTTTTCCCTTTTTGACAAAGAAAAGAACTTTTGTGTTAGAATTGTTTTTTTTTCATAAAAAAAAACTTAAACAGCAGCTTGTTTTTTTATATACTTTTCTAAAAAGAAAATCAAATGGCTGAAAGATAAACAGAGCGTTATATATTATAAATGTGCTCCTTAGTGGTATCAGAGTTTAGCTACAATGGTTTACAAGGGTTCAAATATCAGGTTCAAGTATTTCTGATGGAAAATCTAATGTCCAAGAATCTCCAGGTATGAATAATAGAGAATTTTCACAGGGGGGCTCTATTGGCTTCCTATGTGCTAGTCATTGAAGCTCATTCTTTAGTATGTCTCTATGTCCTCAGGCTCTGGTTTGTGCCTCTGTCAGTTTGTCTTCTAATTTCATTCATGTGCACATACTTTCTTTTGCACCTTCGTAGTTCATATTCCTACCTATAGATAAAAAGATTGGTACATATGTGGGCTACTTAAACATTTTCATGTTTTTTTTTCCATCATTGTTAACCTCGCATTTCTTAAAATGGATTTAAAAAAAATGGATAAAAAATCACAGAAAGATGCACAAATCAGCTCAAAGTTATTGCATAATGTTTGCTGAAGCTCTCCTTTTATTTTTTTCCACATGTTTTGGTTTTGATTCCAGCTGACTCCAAGTTAGATTAATAGCTGTCACTCCTGATTAAACCAAAATAACTCTGAGCAGCCTCCTGCTGGTAAATAGTTGACTCTTAAGAAATTTGGCTGTTATGACCACTGACTAAAAGAAAACAACTGTAGGTGACCTATTACTGACGTATATTCACTATTAGAGCCACATTATCACTTTTTGCACAGTGAGTTTTTGAAATAATGATATATAATTATTCTATCTATTATTTTAATCATTGTCAACATAATCTTTAAGTTTCCCATTGGAAATAATATTTATAGGCTTGTTACTTTTTATACAAGTTCAGGGTAGTCAGGGTATGTAGTCAGACGTCTGGAGACATTTGGTTAAAAGATATACAGCTCAAAGCTTAGTGGTAGTATTTTGTTGTTTTGAAAAAAATGTAAATAGAAATATTGTTGGAAATATTTCCATATTTTGTTTTATTTTTATTTATTTATTTTTAAAGCCATGCTGCCTTTTCCATCAGTTAACTGAAAGAGAACATCAAAACATTAGGCAGCAGCAATTTCTTTTTCTTTTTTGAGAGCTATAGGTAACTCTAGCCTTCTCCCCAAAGGTTCTTCATTCAGGAATCTGCTTTTAAAGCTAAACTAGTTTGGCCTATATTTGGAGTTCATTAAGTTCATAAAGAGGCTGTAGAACATCTGAAAAGGTTTGTAAGCTTTTGTTCAAGCTTCAAAACATGTCTTGGATAGCGGTTAGGGACAGTCTATTTACCCTTTCACTATTCTCTGCAGGGTAATCTTGATTAATTAACATTGATTAATTGCAAAATAATGTCGATATTTTTGCTCAAACCTAACATTTAATTGGTGATCTTCAGATTGAAGCCTGAGCTGCAAATCACAAAGCCAGTTAAGACATCATACAGGAAGTTTTTTTCAGTGGAGTGGAGTGCTGTGAGAAATTTTAAAAGCCCTTTTTGCTGACACATGGCTGAGAAGGCTTTTATCTGAGGAAAGAGATCTTAGATGGAAGAGCTCAGATTTATTAAGTACAGCACTGTCCCCTTAAAGTGTGGGATTTAGTATAGAGAGATTACCTGGTCCAACATGTGCATCATCATCAGAAACTAGATCATATCCTTCAGTGGTTTAAGAATTGATCTAAAATATCTAGTTGATCTCAGATCAATAGATCAAATAAATAAAAGAAATAGCTTCTTTTTCTTTTTTGCTCTTTAATTTTTGATAGAAATCCTACAAGTTATCAACTATCAACAGGGATCAACTAACCTGCAAAATGTCTTTCAAATCTGGTAACAGTAGCAAAAAATTGGGACTAAAGGACAATAAAACTAGTTAAGTGAAAATACATTGAATGTTTTAAGTCATGGATGGTAGATGAGTTAAAAGTGGATTAATTTATGTAGCTGAACTGCTTTCATAAGTCTTTGTGACTTTTAGCATCTTATGTACATCTCAAGTCAGGTGTGAGCGTCTACTGCAGTAAGGTTCCATCCTACTGGCTGAATGTATTATGGTATACTTAGACTTAGACAAACTTTATTGTCATTTTGTATGCACAGACATGTATGTGTATACAAGACAACATTTTGTTGCATACAGCTTACAACAGTGTAATGATATTGCAGTTTGTGTAAGATAAACATTACCAATATAAAATGCAGCAGTGATAGAATGTAACATTATAGGAGCAAAAGAGAAACAGTGGTGCAAAAGGGCATTAATATGAAAAAGTTCAGCACAGTGCAAAAATAAATATTGTGCAAAGTGCATTAGAACATTGAGTTGTGTCCTATTTAAAATGATTATAATAGTTCAGCTTGTTGGTAGTGGAACCTAATGTTGCAAGAGTCCAGTTTAGAGTTCAACAGTTCAACAGTCTGATAGTAGCATTGGGAAAAACTGTTGCAGAACCTGCTGAACCTGAAGCTGTGAATCCAAAATACTTTGAATACAAAGATAACATTTGGATTTCCAGCTGCTCTCTGCAATATCAAGATGATTAGTGGATCAAAATAGATCCTGTAGTGGATCTATTTTGAATTTTGGAAAGATTGCACATCACCCATCACTTCTGTCAGGGAACTGAACAGGTATTTGAAAAGAGGAACTGTTATGTAATATGCACCCAGCCAAGTTTTCCATTGCTTTCATTAAGATTGTCCACCCATGTTATGCACTGTGAGAAAATGTAACTGCTGACTAAGATCCTACTGTTACCTTTTAGTCCACTCTCTTCTCCACTCAAACATAAAACCTTTATAACATGCATGTCTATGTGTGAAAATGAGTTGTTCAGCTAGGCTAAAAATAGCATGAAAAAGGGCCTGAGTTCATTGAGAAGAAGCAATATTTTAAGACCTGTCTGACGCTGAAGATGGTATCTGACTCAAGATTCCTACAGTATAAGCTGTTACTCTAAAGCGTCAATTAACAGTTTTCTAGGGAATTTAAACTGAATTTTCTGTAGAACCAAATCTACAGTAGCTCAATTGTTCAAACCTCAATAGGATGATTTTAGAACAAAACACATTTTTAAAAACATAGTTTGTTATTAATAAATGCTTAATATCTAATACGTTTTGGGGTTTTTTGCCTTTAAATAAGAGACCAAATCAACACGTTGGTTGCCTTTTAAAGGATCGTTAGAGGGAGAAAAATGGAATAGTCACAAATTTTAAATGGCTCAAACATGGACTAAATTATCCATCACTGATTTATGGTTCTTTTACAGTTTTATTTAGAGGCTTTACCCTTTGGCCTCAATGACACAAGAAACCCCAATGATCACTCCTTCATTTATATCCACATTGTCAATTCACCTCATTATTTATTCAGTGAAGATTCACTTCAGAGTAAATCATGCGTTTTATTGAAAACATTTTGGCACTGACACCAGGAGTCTTGGTCAGTTGTGTGGGCTACCTCTAGAGCAATCTGTAGTTTGAGTGCTCATGTTTTTAAGCCCCTGGAGGCCCATCCTCCTAAGCACATTCCAAGACAGATGCAAATCAATGAGTGACGCTATGTTCACCTA